AACGTTATATTCGGTTTGGCAAACCATTAAATACCCTTCTCTAAACCCTCTCTTTCTGATACTTTTAGTGCAATCAGCGAACGAATTGCAGTCCCAACTCAAGTTTGTTTGACACGGTCACACATGCAAATAATTTGCACGCACATTCGTCTACCAGCAGGCTTATTTAAATAAATCCCAAAATGTCTTTTTGTAGCAGAAAACTATGTCTTTGTAAGGAGTTCAATAAGTTTTCGATTCAATTCAGGGCATATTTGTGAAGGGCTATTAATTTTTGTACAAAATTATTTGCCTGTCAGACCATAGCTTGGGGCAGCTCCACCACAAATATTTGGTACTACCTAAATACTACTTATTTATATTAAAATAAACTTCCTCAAATGAATTAGGCCTTATGTCTGCTTGTCTTCATGGGACACTGGCTTATATGAAGTACTACCTTCAGATTGGATATCGTAATAAACGATTTCTTCATAGGTTGCTATGTAAAGAAAAAATTGTCCGATATTGGATGCAGGAAAATCTGTTTAAATTCCTACCAGATGATCGGAAATCCCATTTTTTAGTAGTTTCTTTTACGTCTTCAGTCCTAAGGATTACTAAATATGGCAAAACAAACCTCAAACCTTTACTACCATCCTCACGACTATGTAGGTTTTATTTTAAAATTATTATTTGTTTTATAAGCAAATATTTTATATAATTTTTCCTGTTCTTCTTCTTTTTATAATTTTTATAGATGGTTTTAAAAAGTTCGAACATTTCCCAGTTGCCATTGCAAAATAGGATTCTGATTTCCACCGAAATCTCAAATTGTTTCCATCAAAAGTTTTCATTTGGTTTCATTTTAAATGTAAATTAGTTATACTATACAAATAATTTATATTCTTTGGGGCCAAATTAGACATTAGGAAACATTCAAACTTGGTATTATTTTCAATAATTAATATAATATAATATTTTACACCTTATTGGAAATTATGAAATAAAGTAACCGGCCTTAAGAAACTCATTAAACCCCGTCGTTGAAGCGCTATAAGACAGCTACGAGTACAATGTGGTCAAGAGCTCAGTTGGCTAAAACCCTTTCTTTGCTTTCTGTGCTCTCACGACCTTACGTTTTGCAGACAGAGGCTGACCAGCCCCTGCCTATCTGTCTGTTTCCTGGGTGATTATTACAAGCAGAATGAAAATAACAGGCTTTCGCTTAAATCCCAGGCAAAGGAAAAAGCAGACCATGGAATGACCCTTTCGGACAGTTAGTCAGTCACTCGAAGGCAAAATAAGTTACTTACGAGCTTGGCAACTTAATGCTACACTGCAATATTCTTTGGAAGAGAAAGCCAGACACTTGATGGGCACTTTAAACTCGTTATAAAAGATATGTTCGTCGGTAGCAGCAGCCTATCAACAACTTGTTGCCACACATGTCATGCGACTTGTGGCAATTTCTGAATATCTGCGTATCACACAAGCGGACAGTCGAAAGCCGATACATTATTGACAACTAATCGAGCTTTATAAACAATATGCCACTGCCACTGTTGTTGTCCATTGGAGGCAATTGCTGTGGGCTTCATATTAATGACAGCTGTGCCTCATAATTGCATGCCTCATGTAGTTGTCGCATTTGATTTGTGTATTAATTTGTATCTAATTTGTAGAATGGCAGCATAAGCAATAACCTCATTGTTATTGTAATTTGATTTAACAAATGAGAGCAATCATTAGAACTGATTGGTCCAGATGCAGCAGACTTTGAAGATAGGTAGAAATTGTCCACTTAACTAAAATAAATCGATTAAATATTTATTCATCTATTTCTATTCTAATCATCTACTTATCTATCGCATATATTTATATATCTACCTTACAATTTATCTATTCTGTTTATATATTCATCTATTTAACTATTCTATTTATCTATTTATCTAAATATATCTAGATAGATATATTTATATTTATATCTAGATAGCTAAATAGATATTAAGCTATTCATCTATTTATCTATTTATCTATTCATCTATCTATCTATCTATCTATCTATCTATCTATCTATCTATCTATCTATCTATCTATCTATCTATCTATCTATCTATTTATCTATTTACCTATTCATGTATTCAAATTTTTATCTATTTAGCTAAATATATTTATTTATCTATTCATCTTTTTTTATTTTTATCTTATCATTATACATTTAGTTTATTACTTGTAACAACCTCTTTATCTGACATAATATAATATATTTAAATGGTTTCTTCGTAATCTAACCTTTCATCACTGCATTATTCATCGCAATATAATGTGCTCCATTTATTCACATATGGAAATATCAATCAGGTTTTAGAGCTCGCCCATTTGGCACATCGATGAAATATTTATTTACAGCACCTTAGCACTTTAGTTGCCATTTTTCGTAATTACCCCCCAGAGCTAGAGCTATCGATGTTGACGTCGCCAATATGGGTGAACAAAATAGAAACAACAAAGCCCACGCTCATTAATTATTAGCACCCAAGGCGTAAAAAACACTAATTAATTTTAATGCACACGCGAGGGTAATTAATATTTCATTTTTGTTTTAAACTGTACAGCATTTTGCACTGTGCTGGGCACACAGCATTCATTGTTCTCGTCATGACACATGACATGGAAAGTGCGCCAACAGGTTCGCAGATTTTAATTCACTTCGCAAGCCGCCCGCCTCTCATTCATTCATGCAATCATTCATTCATGTACACGCTTACATCATGGCAATGCGAAGTTTGACATTTGGTTTCAGTTTGTCTGTCAGAATTGCGTCAAAGTGTGTTTTCTGTTCATTAATCTAAATGAAATGTTAACTTTTATTCTTCTGTATTTTTTCCGGTGTCATTTGGGTCGGACAGCGATATCTTACCCAGATCGGGAAAGGGAAAAATTTGACAAATTCAGTTTGATTGAAAAAGGTGTCAGTGGCATCTATAAAACATGCGAAATTTATGCGTTCATTTATCATTCCAATTTGCTTGGCCATATCTGCATGTTTCTGAATTGAAATGTTAACCGCTAGCCACACAAAAACCAGCCATCGATTAACATGCAAAACCTTTAGAATGTCTCACAATTTATGCGAAACATAAAACTGCCAAAGTTAAACGTTTATGCGTGAACAACAAATTTATGCAAATTAGCAGAAAATTTGACAAACGAATCGTTCAATTAATGCAAAACTTTTGATTTAATCAATTTGCAACTAATTTAAATGCTCTGTTTTTTTTGTATACTCATGACAATATTTGATTTATTATTGTACATTTTGTGCACAACAAATTGTCAATTATAAAGCCATTATATTAACTTGATGAAATATACATTCAAATAAATGATGAACATTAACTCCAAATGTCAATGTTATAAATGAAAATATTTAAACTGTTCTATTAAATGTATTGTATTTGAAAGAAGAAAAGAAGTTAATGAATTTAAATATCAATCTCTAAATGAACATCTTTAAAATGTACTTTACTATCAATTTGGTTTATAATTTAAAGAGTAAATATTTTAGTAAAGAGTGACACAAATAAATGCCATTAAATATGTTTAACTAAAAAAATAAAGGAATTTATATTTATAATTTAAAGAGTAAATATTTTAGTGAAGAGTGACACAAATGAATGCCATAAAATATGTTTAATTACAAAAATGAAACAATTTAAATGTCAATCTCTAAATGAACATGTTTAAAATGTACTTTTATACAAATTGGATTTATAACTGAATCAGTAAATATTCAAAATAAGAATGACAAAAATGAATGCCATAAAATATGTTTAATTACAACAAACCGTGAAAACAATTGACAGCTGACAGAACAAAAAAGCAGTGAAAATTTTTTTGTATTTTTTGTAAATTAATTACTGAATATTTATGCCTACACCCTAACGTCCAATTCTTTGTTGCAACTATGGAATAAAACCAGAAGAAACAAACTCCGTAATCTAACCGTTCATTGAAGCAGGAATATGAAAACTATCGTATGTGGCCCACTTTTCATCACCAGTCACCATCCATTTAAGATGAATATTCGATTCGTTATGTTTTTTCGTGATAATTAATTTAAAGTTTCATTTCACCTTCAAAAATTTCTTAAGAGACCTTTACGGCAGACTTGCGAAATTCCATGGTGAAATTTAAATTGTTAAATATTTGTTAAATTTGTCGATAATATATTTCTCATCAGCGCTGATTCATCACCAAAGTTCCGGTTTTTGTTGCTCTAGCGATTTCAAAAGTTCACTTAACTCTTCAAATAAAAATGTGTGACGCACTTTATGCTTGGTTTGCAATCCCATAAAAAAATTAATGTCTGCCAATTTGCTTAAATGAGCTGCTTGGCCAATTTTTTCAATTAATACTTCGGCAATATTTTTTGACTGACCCATAGAGAATAGTGCGCGCCATCTATTCGTAAGTTTTCTCACACGCTTCAGTTTTTTACGCTTGTCGCCCTTAAAAAAACTTTAGCAGAAACTTAAATTTTCTTGCTGCCACTTTTGTTGTTGTTGCGTTTGTAACACTAAAAACTTTTGCCAGCGTGCTGCGGCTCTATGCATAAATTAAGAAAATGTTGGAAAAAAAAATGCATGAAACTAAAATAAAAAATGTGTAAGAAATTACAGCAGCAAAAAAAGCGGCGGCTGGCTCAAAAGTTGTAAACTGTAGGACGGACTTACATAATAAATGCATAGACGGATTCAGGGAGGGGGACCAGAGACCCACATTGGGCTGACAGAGCACGTAGCAAAAAGTTTGCTCTGTCTCTGACCATTGGTCGGACACTGAACGATAATTTGCGCTTGACTTAAGATTATGACAGGTTCAAGTGTTGAATTGCAGCTTTTCGTTCCTCAGCAGCAACATATGTTGGGCACAGCTAATGGCATTTTGAAACGTATTTAAGTGAAGGGTTGCCTTTTCAGTTTTATTTATCATAAACACTGTTTTCTCTATTACAGCAGCAACAGCAGCAGCAGCAATATATAGAGGACGATGCATCGAACCACAGACAACAGTCAGCATCCGAACTGGCATGTCCAGCTGCCGAGCATTTCTAATCAACAGCAAGATGGCCAACACACACAGCTTCAGATGTCTAGCAAAAAATGCAATAACAAGCGTCGACGACGAAGGGGTGGCGGAGGGGGCAGCACCGTTAACTTTGTTGGCCATTTTGCCAACGCTTGGAGTGTCAGTTTGGCCATTTTGATTTGCATAGCACAGACAACAACAACAGCGAATGCCGGTAAGTGTTGCCAGACTGCAAAACTAATAAAATTCCGTTATGAGTTAAATGATTTGACATGTCCAATGCCTGTCCCTGTGCAAGTGTGTGTGAGAATTTCGGGGCTCCTGTAGACGAGTATGTACATGAAATGACAGTCAAGCACACACACGCATACATGCATGCATATATGCTGATATGGAAGCCCCAATTAAAAGCTCATCAGGAGCTAAATCCCTGACCCTAGCAATGTTGCAAGCTGTTCTGCATTCGCCCTTCCAATCGATTGAAAAAGCAATTCGGATGTGGGGAAGTGAGTCGCCTCACTTGACTCACTGACTCTGTGATTTATTTAAACATTTGGCAAGCATCCGATGAGCAATAACTTTGCAGCTGCCCTAAGCTCTTGGGTGCTAGAAGGTGTCAATATGCATTTCCACTTGCAAATTGCTTTTATGGCAAATGATATATTTTGCGCAGCTTTAAGATGGTCTTCATTTACGTATTCAAACGATGTTATAGTACCATAAAGGGCTAAGCAAATGTTTGATTCAAAACAACTTGTACTATAAGCTTTAAAATAGGCAGCTTTCTTCAAAAAAAAAAAAGTTATAAAATAAATCTGGGTAGGCAGGCAGTAAATAATGAGAAAAAAACTATTTAATCAACTATTTAAAAATCAGACTTTTCCTTTAAGTTATCTGTCGGCATTAAAAAATATATTGTAGATATATTTCGTAGAAGTTGATTACTATATACCTGTAAAAACACATTAAGCTTGTTCATTGTTGTAGAAAATTAGATTTAAATAATTATTATAGAAGTTAGGCTGGTTTCTGTAGTTAAGTCTTTCACATTACAAGTAGATTCGCTTTTTATATTGTGCATTAAAACAGAGCTAAAATAACCAATACTAATAATTAGAAAACAAATTCATAAAAGTCTTTACATAACATTTAATAGCATTTAACAATCTAATTAATTGTTAATATTGTATTTGCGTTTTTATACATACTCATAAATTTATAAATATGTACAACATATATTTGTTGAATGACTTTTTTGTTTCTAAATTTATTGTTGCTCTAGTTTGTTAGCCTTTGCCTTTTTAAATGAATAGGTTAAAATAATTTAATTTTCCAACAAACATTGTTACTCAGGGATTTTAATTGAAAAGCCTCGGCTCTCTTTCTTCAACTAACATTCAATCTGAATTATAGATAGTCATATATAGAAAGATGTTCTCCCAATAAATATGCAAATACTACACTTGCTTAATAAAAGCTATTACAGTGTGTTGTGCGGCTCTTTCAGAAAGCGGCCAAAATGTCTGCCAAAAGTGACGCCCGTAAGTAGGCAACAAAAATGTCCAAACAGTAATGTCAGGAACAAAGGAACCAAATTAGTGTGTCACTGCTGCTTTTAGCAACCAAAATTAACACTCTCACAAAGGTAAGCCCCAAATTCCCTGTCCGGACACACACACACACACACATAACCACGGCAACTGCAGTTTTCACAGTCTAAACAAATGCCAGGCAATAATGAAGCCAGAAATTAACTGAAACAGGCTGTATAACAAATTGTCTGAGCCCTCCACTTACAACAAAACTTTATTCAGTGCCACTTGACGGAATATGCGTCGTTGGCCTCGCACCCAAATCCCCAGAATGCAAATTTTTGTCCAACCGCTTTAAAATCGCAAAAGCTGCATTTAGGCGCAGGCTGGCTTGCCCGCCACTTCCTGTCGCTCCTGCCATGTCACATACGCTCCCTACGACTATGTTTAGCAACTGTTTAAGCATTTTGCAGCAGCTTTGTTTTTTTTTTTTTGTTTTGTGTTGCCTGCTACGAGCCAAATGAGGCAGCGCAAGTGGCGCGTTGCGGCTGCTGTTGTCGCCGCTCGCCAGCTCGTTCGCTACCGGAAGTGGCTGCTGCGGCTTTTGGCATGTGTTTGCTGTGGCGGACACTGGCCCCATTGCCATGACCAATACGCCCAACAACTTTGCTGCTCTGCGGCTGCAATTTTGGTTGCGGCCTTTTGGGTATTTTTGCATTTGCTGTGTTTGCCTATGTAGGAGAGAATCAGTGCTGTGCAGATCACAACTGAGAGGATTAACGTTCTCATATTCTTAAAATCAAAATTAGTTAAATATAGTTGGGTGTTTGAAACGTCGAAAATGTGTCCAAAATAAGTACACAAATGGCAAATGAAAAATCACTATTTAGGCTTGATATAAACATAAAAAAACAAAGCTTATAATTAATAATAATACCAATTCTATATGAATTGTTGGTATTTGTGTCTATTATAAGCTACTTTTAAAAATAGATTGAAATCAGTATGTAAAGCAAAACCTTTAATTAATAATAATACCCATTCATATACTTGTGGGTTTTTGCTTACGTTTGTATTTTAATAAAGCTTGCATACTGCTGTATGTACGAAAGAATCATATTTAATATATATACTATATATATATTGAGTATTTTTAAAGACAGCCAATTTTAAAAACCAAACTCGACAATTAGAGTGTCAAACCTGCAGTTTTGGTTATTTTAACCGGAGAGGTGCATATGATGTTTCTGTCGGGACCTTATCCGTTGATCTCTTTATTGAGGCTAAGCATTGTTGCGAATTTACTTAAAATAAAAATGTAATATACATATTTACGAAAATTATTTAATTCAAGTAAAATTCATTACACAATTTATAGAAATTAATTTAATACATTCATAAAACTTGTATAATTTCTATTTTAATTTTGAAAGGCGCATTACAATTATAAACGTTTCAACAATATATAAAATAGTGTTGCCTAATAGCAGTCTGTTTGATCAATTTTTCAAGGAAAAAGTAGAAAACGGTTTTAAATATAGCACCTGTTTAAAATATTCGCCAAATCACAACTTCTTTCAATGGAGTTGTCGTTAAAGTAACATCACTGCTGTGTTCGCATTAGTGTTCGTAGTTGTTTTCCTAATTTAGGCAGCCCTTTGTGATGCGCAGCATATTTTTGTTTAAGTAAAACCTACAGTTTAACTTTTGACTGGCCAATACCTAAGGCCCGGTTGGCTTTTTGGGCAATGGGAAATGGCTGGCAAGTGTAAAATGTTGGCTTAAACAATTTAATAAGATGGCTCTTCTAATCGGCTATGCTACGTGGGAAGTGATTTTTTTAAAGGGTCACGTTGTGGCATTAAATTAATTTTAAATTTTTATGCCGCAACCTTTTTAATTTTCAATTAAGTGTGGCCTGAAAATTCCGGGCAAACACTCAACGATGCGAAAATTGTACAAATCTGACTCACCTGCCTAACCAACTGGCCCAAAGCCGTGACTGAATAAATATGGAAAGAGCAAGCAAACAGACTGAGAGTAACGGTAATGGCGAAAAAGCAGTTAAAAGTAGACACAGATAGACATGCAAAAACTTGCATAGAAACGTTAACGTCTTTTTTCTGCTACTTCTGCACTTGGCTCGTTTGTAACATAAACATGAGTGGGGCACTCAAAAGCGTGTTAGCAAGAACAATAACATAAAAAAGACAAAAGAAGAAGAAAACTGCAAAGAGTGTAAAAAGTGTAAAAAGGTGAAGAAATGAGAGACAAGTGCATTTAAATTGAGAGCGTGCGGGGGCAGCATAAAAACAAATCAAAGGCGCATCAAAGGCACGTAGCGAGGTGAAAATATGCACAGGATGTGGACACACACACACACACACACAGATACACTCACATAAGTTTCCCAAGACAATTGTCAAGGTGTGACTGAAAGGAAATCGACAGCTACAGGAGCAGGCAAGCAGACAGGCAGCCAGGTAGTAGGAAGCGAGGACAGAGGTGGGCGAAAAAATGAACTACAATTTTGCAAATTTTAAGCACATTTCAGCTGCTGGTGAAGAAGTCGTCAGCATACCAAAACAGATTTGCATATTTTGCCAAGCTCACACCCACACACATGCATACACACACATATAAACAATACACCCACATAACTTGCATACAATAAATCTTGTGACGTCCTCAAGAGAAAGACGTCACGTAGCAAAAATGGTGGCACTTGCTTTTCCTGTTTCCTGCTTAAGTTCCGTGCACGAATCGACGCACGAGCTTGGCTGTGTGTTTGTGAAAATCTTCTACAGTTGTTGATAGTTGGCAGCAGAAATGCACACGGCAAAGTTCGAGCACCCTTTGGCCCCCATCCCCACCATTCCCTACACAACCTCATCTTCGAACGCTGGGGCCCAGCCACCAACTGACGATGAAAAATTGTGCTAGTTCACATGAAAATTGTCAAGTAAACGAGCGTTGCTATTACGAAAATGAAAAGAAAATTGGAGCTCATATTCTATGTACGAGTATACACGAGCATGTGTGTATGTGTGGTGTTATGTTCATAATGATTGTGGTGCATCGCATAAAGTTAGATTTTCGGTTTATTTATGTGCGGTTGTTCAACGACAAGAAGATTGGCAGTGCAATGCACATTGAGCCATAACTACCTTAGTTCACTTTTCCATTGAGAGTTTGCTGGTTTTGGGATTACAACTTAATCACTGATTGAAATTGTTGCTGGAATACTTTAAAATTTGCTTGTACTTCGAAACTAAGTTTACAAAAATGCACAGAAGATTGTGAGTCCAAGTGAGCAGCCAGTTGCCAGCTAAATGTTTTCCAAAGAGAAATAAGTAATGGCTAAGAATACCTTAAGAAAGGAGTGTTTGCCAGATTTAGATTTTAAAAATTTATGTCAGATTCTTTGCCTGACTTCACTCGCAAGTGCGTGAAAAATATGTTTATCTCTCTGTCCTTAACTCATATAATCGAAGAGGTAGACACGCCAAGCTTAAAACAAACTTAGATTTGAAAAATTGTGTGTCAGAAAAAAAAGTAATAGAAATAGTGGCTTAAAGGCTGTTTGGAGCTTGTTTCAAGGCAGTTTACTGCCACAGCTTAATTTGTTGTGAAACCTAAAATAATAAATCTGAGCTATTCAGGTCAGCACAGCAAGTCCTTG